TTCTCGAGAGACTACAGCATGGAATTTTCAAGAAGGGTATATTAAGGTCTCTTAAGGGTCGACAATGTGCATGTTACACCACTGTTGTTTCAGGTGGATATAGGCTACGGTAACCGTTTATCATCAGATGGGCCTTGAGCTTATTTGCCTAAATCATAGTATAGAAAAAAATTAGAATTAAAATGGAAGTTCATAATAAAGTTGATTTCAGAATTTTCCACTCTATAAATATTCTTAACATTCTATAAATATTCTTAATCTTCTGTTTTCTTTCATTTTGCACTTTCTTTAGACTTCTACAAATATTTTAAAACCAAATTAGTTACAACAGTCTAGCAGTTTTCGAGTTTTAGTCAAACCAACAAACATTAATTCATTTTAATTATATATTATTGCAATATGTATACTCATTATCATCATCATCGCAGCCCGGAAGACGTCCACTGCTGGTCATAGGCCTCCCCCAAAGATCTCCATGACGATCGATCCTGTGCTGCTCGCATTCAATGCCTTCCAGCGATCTTGACCAGATCGTCGGTACATATATACACTGGACATTTGTACCGACGATACCTAGAAAATTTGCTATATACCAATACTCACTCTTTTTGGCGAAATTAAAAACAGAATCACCCACTTCATGACGCTGTTATGTAGGTACTGCGTATAATTGCTGCATTAAAAATTACCAAACCAGTACAGAGACAGTGATGCCAGAGTGACGGTTTACCCGAAATTGTGGGATTTGTTTGGCGAATGGGTAATTTTGGGGAAATAAATGCATGTAAGGAAAAGAGACTAACACTCCCAGTGTCAGTAAGGTTTTTGGTATGTGTAGGACCCTAAAAAACTCAAAATAAAAGCTTTATGGCTAAAATATGTTTGGAAAAGTGGAATAAGTTGCTCAAAAGAAAGGTCATCAGTTTCATAAAAACCCATCGAGTCGGTCTAAAAATTAGTCGTCGGGATACAGATTTTTCTTCAACAGATAACTTTTGAGGTAGTTTAAACAAAATTTGGGGAAATACCATGTAGTCATATGGCAACACTGTACACGAGTTAATTTCCATCTAGTTAATGCAAATTGTTGCTGTAAATAACACGTGTAATTACTTAATGTTGGGTAATAATTCCGTGTTTAGCCAATTTGGAGCTGCGCTTAGAAATTTCGTCTTATTTGGACAGTCATGCCGTAAAGTTTTAAGGCTGGAATATCGATTTCAACCCTTCGTCAGGGCTGATGTGTGTTACCATTAATTGTGTAAGGGTTGAATCCTTTATTTGGTTCTTTACTCTGTCACGTGACAGTTTTTGTGTGTATAAATGATAATAATAATGATTTAAAAACAAGCTTGTAAAAATCAGATTAACAAGTTTTAGTTTCTGTTCAGTTCTTCTTTTTTCATGATCTTTCAACTGTTAGCTGTCAAAATGACTTTAACGCCCCTCTGTGAGACCCATTACAGGACTTCTCACAGATGGGGCTATAGTGTCCGAGTCCAATAAGGCTCTTCGCAGATGAGTGGATATAGGAGGTTTATAGCTTGTATAGCTTGTGTCAGAACTATTTTGATTATTCTTTTTTAATTTGTAAACTACTGGTGATGTTACTTCAGATATAGTTCCATGTAAGATTTTTCAAGATAGTATAGTCTCTTCCGAAATTTTTGAGTTACCCTTAATAATTTTACTAAATTTAGTTATGATGACCTGAGCTGATATTTTTGGTGGACAAGAATCCCATATTCCTCACCTGCTCTCCTCATGCTCTGCCAAGCAGCTTGCCACGTAAGCTGTGTTTTAGAGGAAAGGTGAGATAAGTCTTGAAATTTCTGGATAAAAGGCATGAGGCATTTTAGTCGCTGATATCCTGATCTGTCTCATGATAACGTGATGTCTGTAGTACTGTTCATATATATAGGCATCGCCTCCTATCAGCTGGGCCGTCAGCTTGTCTGTCACTCCAATCTCATAAACAAAAGTAATTCCAACTCACCAGTTATGGCATCTACAACCGCGCCGTTAGTTTGTACGTCCATTCGCTTTCCATAAATATCCCAAATCCCTATCTCCACATTTTATGTCCGAGCGATTCCTTTGAAAAAGGACATTTTACGAGTACTGCTTGTTTACTTGTATGTTTATCTCGTTCGAATTTATTGCGCCAATAACTCGGTACGGAGGAAACTATCTGGTGCACGGGTATCTTGTTATGTCCCCTTAAGAAATTGTCTTACACATTCGTTGAATACGTAAACAGGGAAATCGTAAATCGTATTTTTTTTATTTCACCTAAAGTTTCGAAGAGATAACGTAGGACGAGATGGAATTGAAGTCAAAAATGTATTTGTCTGCGTTAAGAACAGTAATTTCAATAGCGAATCTTTTACCTTTATTGTAATCATAAAGAACATAATGGATGTTAAAAACTCATGGCTTCAATCTATTATATTCTAGCCTATTGGTTTTGATACGGTTTCCAATGGTCCCGGGTTTGATTCCTCGCATAGTGCAAACATTTGTATTCATGACTGTGATTGTTTGTATCGTTCTGGCTGTTTTCTGTCTCTCTCTCTCTCTTTTCTTCTCTTTCAGCATCTGTTAGTCCACTGCTGGACGTACGTTTCTTGAATAAATTTCCAATTTGTTCGATTCTCGCCGCGTCTTATCCAGTTTTCTAAGTATATCATGTATATGATTATGACATTACTTTTTATGGCAAATTATACTAAGATAGTAATAACATCTCTTGATAATTCACACTGCGGCATCTAGACTCATGCTAAGCAGAGCTTTTGTTATGGGTACTAGACAACTGATATAAACATAATACACATAGAAAACAACTATACCGATACAAACAATCATACACATGAATACAAATTTTTGGAACGTACCAGGAGCCGACCGCGCGACCAACAGATCTAAAGCGGTGTGCTATATACAGCTATACCACCAAGCCCGTCAAATGTATTTAAATGACACTGTACCTTATACCAAAAATAAAACATGTTCCCCATCTTAGGAAAACTATTTAGAAATAGGTAACATTCAATCAGGCGCTACAAAAGAGGATATTAAAGCTTATATAATTAGTAGGGCGTGTTCAAGGTTTGACTGAACACCGTGTTATAATGAGAGTTGGCTCGCTCGTGTCATGAATACGTGATACAGTTGATCCATTTATACATTTCACTAAATCGATATGTTTTCTAATTAGACTACGGTTTTGAATTCTAATTCAAAAAGCAATTATTCATGTAGGACTTTGTAGCCGTTTATGAACGTTAATTTTTTAATATTATAATTTTTAGTATATATATCCAATTGAGAAGAATTGGCAAGAAATTTAATTTAATTTCTTTTTTTTTAAAGCCTGTTTATTTATAATGTATATATATAGGTGTCTATGTCTAACATTAAATGAATATCCAGTGCATGAACAACTATTTCCATGCACGCTCGTCGTAAGTAATCGATTAGTGAGTAATAGGCCTTGCTCAGTATATATAATTTAACAGATGTTTTGAATTTATTTAAGGGTCATTCCAATATATCCTTTGGTATCTTATTGTAAATTTTTAATTAGATTAAATGTTGTATTATTACCTGTATTAATACATTTTTCTTTATCTAAATTAATAAAATTCCTATTAGCTCACCTGCGCAACATCGGTTGCGACATATTTTCCCCATTTCTGCAATATTTTTCATTATAGTTGCACCTTCCTTAAAAAATGCGCTTTCCAACAGTACATAAGGTTACTGTTGGAAAGCGCATTTTTTAAGGATTTTAGGTAGATCGCCCCGAATATATTACTGGCTACTCGCCCCGGTTTCGCACGTGTGTACATCTATTATATACATACATAAACCTTCCTCCACGAAGGAGCGGTTTTTTTAATAGATGGAGTGATTCCACACTACATCTATTATAAAACCGCTTCAAAATCCGTTTCGTAGTTTTAAAGATTTAAGCATACATAGGAACGGACAGACAGCGACTTTGTTTTATACTATGTAATGATGATGATGAATTAATTTAAAAAGACTTTTCTGTTTGCTAAATAAATTAATTTTAGGTACTACTCTAAAATCTATCATAAATTATCATAATAGTAATGATAGAATCATAAGAAATATTATTTAAAACAAAATTTGTAAATAAATTTATTATTGTTTTATTATGTTACCTCTAAATTACACGCTGTATACAATTTCCCAGTATCTATTCATAAGACATTGAAATAATATTGTTTCTAAAATTAAATTAAGAACAGCAAAGTTTAACGTGAATTTGAAACTTGTTTTAATCGTCTATTAGTATTTCTTATTATAAATCCATAATAGGTACATTTTAATTGGTTGCATAATACAAAATGAATATTTAGGATAAATGAATTTATAGATGATAACAATATAATTATAGCAAGTGTAAGTTTATTTGCGGACAACGTTATAATTTATTTTTCATACTGCTTTCTTGATATATGATAGCGTAGCGGCTTTTGTATTGATTGCCGCATGCATCCTCATGTAAAGTGCGAATACTGTAACTACCATATAGTAATTTTTGTAGCTGTGACGTGGTCGAGTGGAATGAGTAGTCATGCTCACTAAAATGTCCAGACATGTCGCGGCGTGGTGGGCCGGGTCATTGGGCTCCCTAAAATATGATCGAGCGCAGTGATGGCTGGCTCATCCGTCATACTCGTGAACGAGTGCTGCTTGTAGGGACTGGTCTGCTCTTATCACTACTAAATTAGTGCAGGTTGGTAGTTGGTATTCACACGTTTCGACTTGTAAAATGTGAACTTACAAGGATTGTTTAAAAGAGCAACACACAAGTTTCTTGCTTATTCTTCTTGTGATGAGACAGCTTTCCGAATAAGCGGTAGATTTAAAAAAAAATGTTGACTATTCAAAAGTGCTTAAACTAAGTTTATTTGAATAAATGATTTTCTATTCTATTCTATTCTAAAACTTCTTCATTGTTTCAGACAACCGGTAAATGGTTCGCAAAAGAAGAGCCTGCTCCCAAAATGGTCGACTTATAGCACCAACCAACAGCCAGTGTCTAGAACTGTGGCGGTGGAAGCGGAAAGATGTTAATGCTTCTCATAGTATACTTCATTACATTTCCCGTACTAACATCCAGGTTGGTGAGAGGCGATAGCACAATGGACGAGAAACCTCCCCAGCCGCTAATAAGCTCCAGAGTTGTTCGAACCAAATACGGTGATATCCGAGGATTCATCGTCACACCAGAATCACGGTTCCTAGAACCAGTTGAAGTATTTAGAGGTGTACCTTATGCATCTCCACCAGTTGGTTCCTTAAGGTTCATGCCGCCAGTGTCAGGTGCTCAATGGTCAGGCGTAAAAATCGCTGAAGAATTTAGTCCAGTATGTCCACAAGTGCTGCCAGATATAAGAAACGAGACGGCAGTTTTGAAAAGAATTTCCAAAGGAAGGTTGGAATATCTAAAGCGAATTCTACCGTTCCTAACAAACCAATCTGAGGATTGTCTATATTTGAACATCTACGCACCAGCTCAAGGTAATTCTAATGTTTATTCATCGTTAGCTTAATTTGCTTCTTACGTTCCAATAAAGCTGAATCAATGAGAAATAATTATTATTTGATGTTGTCATAATAAATCGAGTTTGTATTTTGGAATAGTTGATTTTTAATTCCATTATTATTTTAAGTAGTTGTATTTGCGGGTATCATATAAGACTATATAATTATCTTCCCCTAATAACGAATAGAATATTTATATATATAATATATATATATATATATACATATATGATATATCCCATCTATAAATTAATAATTAAATAATTATTAAAATAGTAAATGGAGTTATTCAGAATATTTAATCGATCTCTTTGGGAGGTATTTTTCTTTAGTCTATTAGGTTGCCATATTTAAGTGTATTATATGAAAATTTCATCTTAATTTCTCCTTTCATTTTAACTTGAACCCTAAACACCAAACAAATCGTTTTCGCCTTGTTACATTCTTCATCATCATCATCTGCTTCTTCCTTATCCCATCCATGTATGGTCGGCGTTATATGTTTTTCTCTTCCATTCATTCTGTTCGCAGTCATCTCCTTATTTACTCCCTTTCTTACCATATCATTTTTCAAACAGTCCATCCATCTCTTTTTCGGCCTTCCTCTGTTCTTATAACCATCCACATTCATATGTAAGTATACATATATAGATAAATAGAAATATAATCATAAATAAATGAACTTGTGGTTTCCACGTATATTTTTAAATAATTATATAATTGACTACATTAATAATATTAATATGAAATTAAGCCCAAACTCGTTTATAGAAAGCTTGAAATATATAAGTAACTAACTTACGAAAAAAAACGATTTGAATAGGCCGAGCGGTCGACAGAGCCAATTTTCAAAAGAGATTTTACCCTTGGTAGAGGAAATCACATTCATTGCGCCGTAACAAGAACCGGACGGGAAAAAAATTGAATGGAAACAGGGTGAAATTAAAAATGATACGAATGTATCCCTTTGTAAAATGTAAGCTCCCTTAATTGGATGTGAAGCGAAAGCAATTATTAATGTCATTGTAACATTTACTATGTTCATATTTCTTCTGATTTTGTAACGATTTTTTTAATTTCACGACATCGGTGGTGTAGTGTATTAGCACATCGCTTTATTGTTTGATTCTTCGCATATTATAAACGTTTGCATTCATGAGTACGATTGTTTGTATTATTCTGATTTTGTAACGATTTTTTTTTAATACACAAAATTCATAAGACAGCTTCTGATTTTTAAACGTTTTTTTTAATTCCACCACTGAAGTGTTCTAGCGGATTAGCACATCGCTTTATGATTCGATTCCTCGCAAATTATAAACGTATTCATGACTACGATCGTGTGTATTTTCTGACATTGTAATAATAACTATGTATATATTTTTTCCGATTTTGTAACGATTTTTTAAATACACAAAATTCATAAGACGGTATCGGTGGTCTAGCGGATTAGCACATCGCTTTATGATTCGATTCCTCGCAAATTATAAACGTTTATATTCATGACTACGATCGTGTGTATTATTCTGACATTGTAACATTAACTATGTATATATTTTTTCTGATTTTGTAACGATTTTTTTATTGCACAAAATTCATAGGACTGCATCAGTGCTCTAGTGGTCTAGCACACCGGTTTATATTGTTTGATTCCTCGCAAAGTAAAAACATTCATGAGTATGATTATTTATATTGCTCTGGATGTTTTCTACGTATATATATGTACAAAAAAATATCATTTCAGTATTTCTATCATTTGTTTAATAACCATAACGCAAGCTTTGATTCGATTCGAGAAAGACAATGTATATGAAATAAAACAAGTGATACTTCTAATTTATGAGCATTAGAGCATGTGTGTGTGAGTGATTGTGTGTGTGTGTGAGTTATGAGTGTGTGAGATTATGTTTACATTGTATAAAATGTCGTCAGTCGCTTCCGCTATCTTTTCGCTCAACGGATTTTAATGTAGTCTTTAACAATAGATAGAGTGATTCAAGAGGAAGATTTATATGTATAATACGTATTATAGTATAAAAAAAGCCGAAAAGTATTATACTTATAAGTAATATACTGAATGATTATTCGATTACTATATGATTGAATTCTTAAGTATAAAAAGTTTATAATAACGTTTGTTATTACATTAATTTTAGTATATTAACGTTGTTTATAATAAAATAGATATAATATGAGTATGTTGTGGTAAATTCGTATTAAAATCCGGAAATTATGGCAAACTCTTCACTTCAAATGAGGCCCAGTTTCAATTAAATCTCCCATTTTCTGTAATTAGGAAACCAGGATCTAATAAAAGACCTCTCAAATGAGGGATTTTAAACATTGGCTGAGATGAGGGTTAGGCCTCATTGTCTTCAACCAGGTATAATTAAATGCCGAAAAATGGAAAATATAATATTTGGGATACAAACATTTTAGAAATTTTCAAAAATTGTTAAAGTTTATTTCAAGAATGGTATATTAAGGTTTCTTAAAGGTCGGCAACGCGCACCTGCCATCCCTGGTATTTCAGGCGTCCATAGGCTACAGTAACCATTTACCATCAGATGGGCCGTATGCTTGATTGCCACCATAGTAGTATAAAAAAAAATTTTTTTTGGTTGGTTGAATCAATGACCGATTCATGAGATGAGTTATGAAGATGAAGTTATGTCCGATGGTCGCGGGTGTGTGATTCCTCGCACGGGACAAACATTTGTATTCCTGAGTATGATTGTTTGTATCGGTCTGGGTGTTTTTTATGTATAATATGTATGTATATACAAAAAAAAATATCTATGTATTTGTATCAGTTGTCTAGTACCCATAACACAAGCTTTAGCTAGCTTAACTTGGGTCTAGATGGCACTGTGTGAATTGTCCTGAGATTACTTATTTATTTATATGTATATTTGTCAATAATGGTTGACAGTAAATGTTTTTCCTTTCTTCCATCTATCTACCCTGTAAGGTACTTGACGTGATGATACTTTTTTTTTAATCAGTCATGCAATATATAATAAATAATTTATATTGTTAACCGATAATTAACCTTAACACGAATAATTTTATGGTACATAAAGGTATTTACCACTCTCGATGCTTGACAGTTTTTTTTTATATTGAATACGTTATATTTTGCTTTGTGATTAACGAATATATGTTTGGAAAATTAAAATAATATCTATTTATTTATACAATTTCAAGTAATTCACAACAACTAAATATGATATATATACATAACTTAATTATACAACAAAGAACCTAAAATTAAAAACCTTAAAAAATATACAATTTACTTTACAATTACTTTTTGATAACAGAAAACTTAACTTTTTTAATGGAATAGTTTAATGTTTAATTTTTCACTATAGAAATAAATATTAAGTATTAATATTAGGGACAGAAAAATGTGTCCATTTATCTATACATCGGTTTGTTACATTTTTATGATAAAACAGAACTTAATAAAATTTTAAGTGAAGATAGATTGTTGAATGAGGACGATCATATCCTATCTTTTATCTAGCAGGTAACAGCTATTCTCTTATGAAAACTAAATAATATTTCTTTTTGAAATTGACAAATGACGTAGACTCTGCGAGTCTGCGGTAATGAACGCTCTCAGCGTCAGTTTATGTGGCTTCCAAAAAGTCATAAAAAGCAATGCCAAAAAACCCGTTGCATTTGAGCCGGGAATATTACGAAAATCCCTCTGTCTTCATGTGCGCCTGGTTTCGTCAGCGTTGCTTTTATCACAGACTTGTGGAGATGTGTTATAGCTGTATGCATTGTTTAAGTGATAAGCGATAAGAGAATATCGTACAGCAATAATTTTAAACCATCCTGGATTACGAGCACTGATTAGACTGTTTGCTTTTGCAATAATATGCTGGTCATTCTATTCTTCCAAATTTGAATTTAAAAATGAATCTGTATTATTGAAAATATGTACTTAAAAAGAATTCTAAACTGACGGTATACTTAACATATCATAAGAGTCTGTAAAATATATTTTGAATTCTTTTTTTAATTTTCGCAGTGTATCAAGCCATAATGGCCAGCTATGTTAGGCCTACAATGAGAAACACTGGCAGTTTGTATATATTCTTTTACCCATATTTAATACATGATGTTCTGTATATACAATTGTTTTATATTAATTTTGTCACTGCGCTCTGCTATTATAAACGTCTCTACAAGCATCTCTTTTTTTTTCATTCATTTTTACTTACAACATCTGGCCATTATTTAACAGAAAAAAAATGAGAAGAAATGCAGATATCACTCTACTAAATAACTATTGTAGTCCTCCTAATCTGAGAACACCGCTAGGCGTTCAAACTTCAGCTGAAACCATCGTAATTTCAATTCGAAAGGACACAGGGATTCTTGTATCAAATATCATAAAAATGAATTGTTATCACTGTTTGACACGGATATTTTCTCCTAAACCGGGTATTATCCTGGAAATGTAATGCGTAATTGTTAATTGTTATTAATCCTTAATTGTTTGGATTCTCCTACTTAATTATGGCTCCAACGAGACTTTTAATATTATTTCTCTTCGTTCCGGATTTGGAAGAGATCGCGTTTAGCGATAAGGCCATTTTTGTCTCCTCCTTTTTTTTTAATTGTAACTTTTTTTCTTTATAGTAAAGTGTGACTGTCTGTCGGTCTTTGTAAACTATAAAACAACTAGTCGTGATGTACAAGGAGTAATAAACATATCTTCACGGTTATTATCACAAATGAAGTAGACAGATTCATTGTTAACTGTCGACTAAGAAGTGAAAGAAACTCTTGACATGTCAGCACAGTTATTCGAATCCAACATGGCAGGAGGCAATCCTACCATCTTTAGGATTAGTTTCACGATTCATTATCGATATTTCACTCAACTTCTTGGGAACATTGAGGTAAATCTATAAACAAGTCTTATGGATAATGTATCTATATGTATTTATATTGTAAAT